CATGCACACACATGCATATAGCTTCAAAAAAGGAACATGCTCTCTCTCTGTCTCTCCGATACACACACACAACCTCTAAATCACTTTCGTAGCAGACAAGTGCAAAATGCTTTCACTACGGAGCTGCGTCATCACACATCCAACACCACGTAATGTCACCGTGTTAATAACAGCTGTTGTGGAGGACGACACAAGGTGTAAAAAGAAAAACAACATCAATCTGAATTTGGCAACAAAACTAAACACACACACCATCTGGTTGACAACAGTCCAGACATCATAAAATCACAAGATAAATAATGCTGTGATGAGTGATTGAAGGATAATTACTGTGCTTGTCTTTTATTTATTTATTTTACTGATGCCATGATGAAACTTTGTTTTCTCGTTTCATGGAGGTGAATGTGTTCATGACATCGCTCTGCTTACTGTCAAACATCTGGCAACCACAGGACAACATGGAAGTCATCTCCATGCAGGAAACAATCCCATCTACCTTAATCCTAGCCCCGAGATATCTTGTGTGAATTATGGGCACGACTCCTGGCGCTGAACCAGAACGGACGATTTCCAAAAGTATGCTAATCCTCTTTTTTTTTAAGAGAGATTAGGAAATAAATCGTGAAACACACTCCCTGTTACACCTCAGACAGGACGTGATCATAACTCTATTATCTCTGACAGCCATCTCAAAGCAATGGTTGTGTTCTTTTTTAATCATGCATGTTAGCGATTAGCTTGACTTGCTACTCTTTCTAAAACGTGATTATTACTTTTAGCTCCATGTAAGGTAAATAAACGTAAAAAGTAGTAGTAGGCTAAAATAGATAACTCTAGGCATTCGTTTCATCGTTCATTTTCATTGACTTAACACATGCTTCAAGGTATGCTGCTGAGGGGCAATTTCCTAATGTAGGGTGAGAATAGAATCAGACTGGAAATGACAGGGATATAATTTACTGACATTAGGTGATGGGCAGTCAGTCTAGGTGTCGTTCTTTTTCACACCTGTTGAGTTAAAGTTTTTCTCAGTTGCTTTTAGTCAATTTAGTCATTTGTGCACATCATAATAGCAGTTTCTCATTCCTTCCAACAAATTGCAAATGCTTTTGGACATGCATCAGTTGCTTTCACACAATTCTCTGCTGTTTTATAACATCATTTGCTTATGTCATGTCAGTCAAAATTAACTATACTTATGAATGCTGAATAGTCATTCCCTATAAAACTAATAGTCCTCATTTCATTGCTTGAGTCATTACATACAAAAATGTTGAACTAATTGTCAAAATCTGTCAAGCAAATTTTATACATTTCTTTATCATTTTTTCCTGAAAATGTCTCAGAAATTGAACAATTTCTGTCAGGTGAACCTCAGCTTTCACTGATGAGGAGGAGTGTGTGACGCATTAGTTGTAACCAATGATAAGCCACTTCTCCACAGTCACTCAAAGCTGAATCCCACAAACCTTCACTTGGCAAACATATATGAACCGAGCAGGACATAGTGTGTACCATTTCTACAATACTGTGACACAGAAATGGAAGGTCAACGTAGTGGAAGAGGGGTGAGGATGCGGGGAGGAAGGGGACGGGGACAAAACAGGTGAAAAGGAAGGAAGAGGCCAATAGGCAGATTCCTGATGAAATTAGGGCTACAATTGTGGACCATGTTGTCAATCACGGCCTCACAATGACTGACGCTGGTCAAAGGGTGCAGCCAAATGTTGAGAGAACCACTGTAAATTCAATTATTCAAACATTTCGTCGGGAGAACAGGTGTGTATATTGGACAGTAATTCAGCACTAAACAATCTGCACTACTGTCATTGTGTCATACGTAAGTAATAAGTAAGCGTGTATTTTTCTTTTGCACAATGCTATGAACAAATTAGAATTGAAGTAAAAATGTACATACGTACTCAGTGTCTTGTACTCTGTTACCTCACTAAATACAGTAATGTGTAAGTTCACTGTGGTTTTCAAATGGCTGTGCAAATAGTGTTTGGTGCTGTCTTGAGTATTTTCAGGTAGTGTCACCATGATCTGACTTTTTTGCATTGGAAAACACTTACAGAGTAAACTGTCATAATGAAAACATGACAAAGCCATTTGACTGTCTTGTTCATAAACAATGGTGTCAGGACTTTTCGTTTTGATGACACTGACACTTTCATTGACATGAATACTTGCTTTTGAGGAATGAACTATCCATTTTGAGCAAGTGACACAGTTTTGCAGGTTATCAACTAGGTTTTGCAGTTTGCACTAATTGTTTTGAGAAATGCACTAACTCTTGTGCAAATGTTAATAGTGATGTGAGAAATGCACCAAAGCGATTGAGAAAAACTGTAATACTTCCACCAAAACCCTTTTGATTTTAGTATTTCCCAAGTCATTTTAAGTATGTGACAACATAGTAAACATTAGAGTAGAGTGAGCACGAAAATACGGGAAACATCCTGTCCCATACTGACTCAGTGAGGGATGGTATGTTTTATTTTCTTATACAGGACGATCTGGTATCAATATTGTACAGTGCGAGTGGCAACCCATTACTTTCTGTAGGTGAGTGATGGAAACTGTTCTGTTGGTTGCAGGTACAACCCTTTTTTGTTCTGGCTGCATGTTCAACACTGTTGTGAAGCAACAAGTTCAGCTTTGTCTGCTGTTAGTAACGCTGCAGGCCTCAGCACCAGAGCTCTGGAGAGGACGTTTTAGTTACATCAGGAGAGATGTGAATGTGTCAAACCAGTGAGGTCATAAAACCGATTTCATGGTTTCCGAATGTTTATGCAGTTAAAATGGAAACTAGAATTTAGATAGATAGATAGATAAATAGATAGATAGATACTCTAACTCCAACTCAATTAAAGTTAGGTAAGTTTTTCTCCTGTTAGTTTCTTCTCTCTTCTCCCCTCTCTTCCCTCATCAAAATGAGGGTGTAGGGGGAGAGTGTACAGCCTGGTCCAGCGGGGGAGAGCTCAGTCCATACAGACGTCTCTCCTTGGTTCTGCCTTCCCTGTGCTCTTTCCTAGTTTTCTGTCCATCTAACCTCAACCGTTTGGCTCCTGCTTGGAAACCCCAAAACAACACTGTCACTCCCACTCATAGTTTTAAGTATGTGCATCAAGGGATTGTAACATCTAGTCCTTAAAGGCCCAGTGTGTAAAATGGGTTGAAAACAGTGACATCGGTGGTCAAATTCTAGATTGCAGGGCTCACTCGCTCACCCCTCCCGTCGGGTAAATGACGGTGGCCTCGTAGGGACAAAAAGCCTTGCGCACGAGTTTTTCAGGAGTAGGTCTATCTAGCGACGAGGTAAATGTTTATTTAGAAATCTAAACCATGTTACGATATTGTAATGGATCCCTCACAAGCAGGAGACCAGAGGAGGAGACCTCTCTGCTCCACCAATCTCCAGCCCGCACACTGACTGACAGCGTAGCCTGTAAACAGACCTCAGCTGTTTATTTAGCCTAGCAATATCTCCGGACTATAGTAGATGCAATGGACGACTTTGAACGTGATTTTGAAGAGTTTCTTGTAGCGGACACAGACCCAGAGCCATACCTGTTTGAGCCGGAGTACACAGATGAGGAACTCCATGTGTTTGATGCTGAGCGGGCGAGAAGAGAGGCTGAATCCTCCGCTCACATTTTGCTGCACAGAATGGGATTCGGTGCTACTGCTGCCATCGTTGGGGAGATATATCATCAGGAGGAAAAGCGCCGCAGAGAGTGCATCACAAGGAGTGAAGTTGCGTCTTCTTTTCCTCGCAGATGACTGTTCGGGTTCATTCTCTCCTGTTGCGCGGTAAGTGTGGTCCATTCACAAACTTTATAACTAAAAAAACTTTTCACTACTCTCTATCGACGAACTACTAACACTCTGCTGTTTCCTCCTCTTTCTTCCTTCCTTCCGCTGTCTTCGTTGGTTCATTTATACACGCGAAACGCGTTCTCTGGCTGGCTTGACCGCAGTGGATTGTCCGCTCGGGCTGCCTTACATACATGGCGGCGCAAGATGGCGACCTCTCTAAAGCAAGGCCCTTGCTATATATATAAAAGCATAATTATAAGGCTACGAAAACCAAACGAATTTTATTTTATAGTGATCATACACTTGTATAAACATATTAATGGGTAGAATATTCAGATTCAGATTCAGATTTGACAATTAACCATGCCAAATATTACACACTGGCCCTTTAACTGAACTGAGTTATGGACAAAAACATTGTTTGTAAGGTTACAGTGACCTTGACCTTTGACCTTCTACAACCAAATTCTAATCTGCTCATTTGTGAGACTAAGTAAACCTTTATGCCAAATTTGCAGAAATTCCCTCAAGGCATTCTTGGGATATTCCATTCACAAAAATGAGACAAACAAGGTCACAGTGACCTTAACCTTTGACTTATGACCACCAAAATCGAATCAGTTCATTGGTAAGTTCAAGTAGACATTTGTGCCAAATTTAAAGAAATTCCCTCAAGGAGTTCTTGAGATATCATGTAAGTGGACTGCACTTGTCTAGTCTTCTGACCACTTACAGCGCTTCTAAACTGCATGTCACATTCACCCATTCACACACTGGAGGCCGAGGCTGTCAGACATGGTGCCACCTGCTACTCAGTTGCCATTCCCATGCACTCACGCACCAATGGAACAGCCATCGGAAGCAGTTTGGGGTTCAGTATCGTGCCAAAGGATACTTAGACATGCGGACTGGAGGAGCCAGGGATCAACCCACTGATCTTCCAATTAGTGGACGACCTGCTCTGCCTCCTGAGGTGGGGGTAAGATGGACAACCCAAAAACATCATGCCTCTGGCCACGCCTATCGCCGGCGTGGAGGCATAAAACCGAAAACATTTACTCATTTGTCCCTTATTGTGTCAAAATCTAAAAGACAAAACTTCTTTTTTTAACAAGAATCACAAACTGACTGGTGAACTTGATATTACACAAACAAAGACACAAAGCTGGCACACCCACCTGTGTCGTGCTGTTTCCCAGTTAGTCTTGTTTGATGGGAGGGAAGTATTTCTAATTTCACCAGTTCTGTTGTGCTCGCTAATAGCTGTGTTGCCTCCAGGACTGTACAGTGTTCTGTTGATGTCCCATCTATGGACAGCAGGTGATCTCCAGCATGCAGAGCTCCACATCTGGTGAAAAAGAGACACAGGGAGAAGATGGAAGGATTCTTACCACAACAAAACACAGGAGAAATATGTACAGTATGAGAAACACTTAGCGTGTTTTTGTTCTGTTTGAAGAGCATATGTATGCTGCAGAGCTGCTCAACCTGGTGTCTCTGCTCTCAAACTGTGAATCACTTTTTAAAAATGAATTTTCAACCATGTGGGAATGAACAGCGGCAGAACGCGAACCTCCACAGTCAAACCTGTTCGGTTGACTGAGGTTATTTTAGCTTTTCAGCACTGACACCAAGTTCAAGTGCCTCATGTATATTTTAGAGCCAGACTGAGGCTCGGGGAAATATCCTGTCTCCTGCTGTCTGTGTTAGTTATAGGGCTAGACAGAGTCTATGTGTGTGTGTGTGTGTTTGTGTGTGTGTGTTAGAGAGACAGGGAGAAAATATTATAGAATAAACATGCAACCACATCTGTAATCCAACTGCATAGGTTTATTTTCAGATGTGAGAAAAGAGGCAAAATGAAATCAGAAGTTCTTCAACCAACCTTCAACTTGTCGAATTCACGGACATTTATATTACCTCAGGTATTGTGCTTTCCATTATTATGGTTTTACATGAAAGTGAAAACTGTGTGACGCAGGTTGTTTTATTATTGATGCACTAATCCTACTTGTATTATTTTGATAATGTATTAAAATACATTTGCATCTTCACTATAAAACAGCACCTTCCTTCATATTTACTTGATGTTCAGTGTGCAGTGTTTCCTCTGCCATTATATCAGCCACAAAGTGGACGTTTGTGCCAAATTTGAGGAAATTCCCTCATGGCCGTCTTGAGATATTAGGCTTACAAAAATGAGACAAATGCAAGATCACAGTGACACTGAACTTTGACCACCAAAATGTGATCAATTCACTGTCAAGTCCAAGTGGACGTTTGTGCCATATTTGAAGAAATTCACTCAAGGTATTCTTGCGGTATCGTGTTCACAAGAATGAGACGGACGACATCACAGTGACCTTGAAATCTGACATTTGACCACCAAAATCTAGTCGGATCATCCTTGAGACCAACTGAACGTTTGTGCCAAATTTGAAGAAATTCCCTCAAGGCGTTTTTGAGGTGAAACCCGAAATATAATGCCTCTTGGCCTGGCTCTCAGAATCCATCAGCTGCTGTAAACCTTGAAGAAAACCCAGAAGAGTGCATCAACACTTTCATCAGCTCAGAGCTCCTTATCTGAACTTCATCAGCAGGAGGACACAGTTAACACAGACTTTAGAGAGTAAATCAAGGTCAAACTACAACAATGCATACATGCAGCTACACTGTGTATACATGAGAGTGAGTGTACCTGTCCACCACGCTGCCAGGTTTAACCCGGTCGATGACAATGACCTGCTTGTTTCGATGATTGGCCGATGTCAGCGTGATACCCAGCGTTGCTCCTGGCGCCTTTGCAATTTCCACTAATAGCGGACCGGAGGCGTTCGTTACTGTGTCTGATGAAAAGAAAACATGTTTTTTATGTGAATCATTTTCACCCTCTGCTGTGATCTGATGCTCCTGTGATGAAAATAAAAAACACTTTGGCAGAGTACCTTTCAATCAGCACTAGCACCGACGTTAGTAAAAGAGTTTTAGGTAAAAACGCCCTTGAGACAACATTTATCAGATGTGATGACCAGAGGATTCTTTGCAATGCACTCTGGGAGAGTTAAATTGAGCAGTTTTACACTAAAAAAAAGGCAGAGCTCAGCCTGAGGCGGCAGAAAATGCCAACACATCAACAAAATCATCCAATTTTTAATTTCAGTGCCATTTTAGCAGTCTTGAAATGTTTGCCCCAAGCTTTTATTCATGTCTTGTGTTTGTGTGTGTGTGTGTGTGTGTGTGTGTGTGTGTGTGTCTGTGGTCTCTCACCCATGATAGTAACGTCATACTCTATCTGGAACAGGGCTTCCTGGCCGCACTGAGCCAACACGCTGAGGGCGTCGCTGTGATTAGCGTTATGCAGTGGCACGCCATCCACACTGAGGAGACGATCACCGGGTCGCAGTGTGCCCTCTCTGCACACACACACACACACACACACACGCACACACACAGACCAAAAGAAAACATCAGCGGTGAAAATACGATGAGATACGATGAAATACGGTGATGAGAGAACTGAAAAGATGAGAATTCAGAAATACAGACAACCTAAAAAAAATGTCATTCAGGTTTTAGGAGCTTCTTTGGACATGTTTATAGAACATTTAGGATACACGTTTCACTTGTGATTGTGGTTTCCGTTGAGCTCAATGCGTTGTCATGGATACCTTCTTGTACATGGCTATTGACTTTTCCAGAATAAAGGCAAAACCATAATATTTGTGCACGTAAACTTGGTCGGAGTACACTGTGTGGAAGAACGATGTTGGAAAATCACGGCATATGAGAAAACCATTTAAAAAAAAGCATAACAAAAAACATTTTTCAACCATTCCCTTTCTAACAGCCTGCACCTTCTCTCTGACTTCCTCTTACATCTCGTCCCTCCTACTTTCTGAGAAACTTCTCTTTCCAACTTCCTTTTCTTTCTTTAACCCCGACTTCCAAATATCTTTTTCCTTTCAACATCTCTCTTATTTTCTTCATCTCACTTCTTTGCTGTCCTACTTGTTCCAAGCTTCTTTCTACTCCACTGGACGCCGTCTTCCTGATCTCTTCCTCTTCTTTTCTCTCCTCTCGTCTGTCTGAGACTTACAGTATCATTTCTCCTCAAGTTCAAATGGAGGACAAACACAGCAGAAACAGCACTAAGATGACAGATTTTACTGCTGTGCTTCACAGCATTCAAAATCTCAAGATTTGACATTTTGTCATGTGATCTGGTTTCATTTAAATTATGGTAATTTTCAAAAAAAAGTCCCTGGTTGACAGAAACACTTTCACAGACTGAATGTTTGATATTCTAGAGGCACTCATGGCACATATCAGGCCATTATTCATTCCTCCAAAAATGGATATGCAGCATTTTGATTTTTTTCATGCAGCGGGCTGCATTAAAGAGCTGATAGATGCTTTATGCATGATGCCAGAGTGTGAGTAATTCAGAGCTGTCATCATATGAGCCAGAAGTTGTAAAGTATTATGTGATAGCCCTGAAGCTTTTTCGCAACATGACGCAACGGCACAGACCAAAAGGCTTCATTGGAATGAGGTTATATGATAGACGTACCTAACGATCAATGTTTTTGGAGAATTATGGATTCAAATCAAAGCTTTGAAAGAGATTATTACAAAACTGAAACAAAAATGTTTGCCTTTGGAGCTTAGCAAAACAGGTAGTGATGGCTCCATTTTTCCCCAATAAGCTGCAGGTAGTCATATTATTTTGGCGTGAGTTGCCGAGTGCTTATGATATCAGTCCTTGAGAAGTCTGCCTTCTCACCAGTATAATGGAACTAGATGACACTTGGCTTGTGATGCTAAAAGCACCAAAAAAATTCATTCGGAAAAACTCAACAGCAATGTGTCTTTCCAGAAATCACGGCCTGGTTATTCAAGATAATCCACAGACCCTGTTCTGAGCAGTTTCCTGTAGGAACTATTTTCTATCTACCTCACTATATCTGCCAACCATATAACCGTGCAGAAGGAAGCGTGCATCTACTCATGGATGAGAGGCTCGTGTGAGATGTAAACATTAATGGCATCCTGAGCTGTAACAATAGCTAGCTCAGTGGTGCTAGGGGAGGTAGCAGTAGATGCACACTTGGCAGTTAATTTGGTAGAAAGAAAATAGTTCCTACATGAAACTGCTCACAACAAGGTCTGTGGATTTTCTTGAGTAACCCGGTCATGCCATTTAGTTCCATTATATTGGCGAGAAGGCAGACATCTCTACTGTCAATATCTCCAACACTTGGCAACTCACACAAAAAAATCTAAATTGATGATTAGTATGGCTGGGTGATATGAACAAAAATTCATATCTCCGTATTTACAGGCTGACTGGCAATACACGGTATATATCTTGGTATTTTCTACGACATTGGCTCCATGTTCAGCTGCAAGTCAAAGCCACATTTGAGATGTCACAAGCACTGACCCTACATCGATATAGAAGGTGCTGTCTAAACGTATGTCTTGCTAGAAAATATATCAAGATATCGCTCATAATCGTTATATCGCCCAGCTCTATTCTCTTTCTATCAAGCTACACCTGCCAACGGTATCACATAGAAGGACGCGTGCATCTACTCATGGATGAGGGGTTTGTGCTTGTGACAGCGCATGATGTTAACATTAAGTGCATCCTCCTCAGCCAAGCTGTAACGTTAGCTAGCTCTGTGGTGCAAGGTGAGGTAGCAGCAAACACCAAAATCTAATGTCAGTCGTTGTCCACATACGACCAGTCTTAAAGGTTCTTAAAGATATTATAAGATAACGCTGTCATTTCAGGAGTGAGGGTTTGATTTTCCCTTTGAAGATATCTCTAACTTAAGATGTTGATTTAAACGGAGAAGTGTTAAAGACTTCACTGACATTTAGCCTGTTTTAAGAGCCTGCAGGCTCTGTCGCTTTTTTCCTCTTCATATGATGATGCGGTGAGAGCAGTTTCTTCGTGATCCAGCATAAAACAGCACGGCTCAAACACTTTCAGAGTTGGCGATTTAATTCCCACTGGGTAATGCTAAAAATGTAGGCACTCCTGGGACTGTATGGTGCTGTGGATTAAGATTTCTCCAATTGGCATATAAATGGGATATAAAGCAGCATGAATATCACATTCGTCTCCCCTAGACTGACCCACATTTTGAAGATGATTTTCTTTAGAATGGTGTTAGATGAGCTTCGAGGCAAAATAACTCAATAGTAAGATGGAATTTAATCTTGGCTTTGTCCAAGTCTGTCACTGTGTGCGAACCTGTGGAAAATCAACCAGAGTTTGGCCATGAATAATGTAAAAACCAATAGTTTCTGATTGATCGGCAATCAGTTCTGACAAATATATATTTGGCTCACAATAAAACGTTTCTTTCACAAGTCCTAAAGACGTGTCAAAGAACTCAGACGAGCCTTCATTCACTTATTCTACAACAACATCTCAGTTATTCTGCATGTGTGCTAATGTATTACTTTGCAGACAGTTGCCACTAGAATAAAAATAGCATCTTGCAGTTTAAAGTCTAGCTTCAACTGCTTGAAACTGCTGAGTGATCAGAGTACAGGGTTAGCCTTTAATTTTTCAGTCTCTTGCTGCTGTGTCTTGGCTGCTCCAACAGAGCAGAAACAGCTGAGAGAAGTGTGCTGTTCTGTGAGATTTTTGTGATGCAGACAAAATTAATACGACAAATTTAATTAGGAAATAACAGAGTGTCCAAATACGGTGTTGTATTACCACAAGCCTCCAGAACAGCTTCGGTGCTCTTTGTCATAGATTATACATGTCTGTTGAACTCCTCTGAAGGGACGAACATTCTCCCAAACATACTCTCATATTAACTGTTCAAAAGAGGAGCCCTGAAGAAGACCTGGTGGTCGAAACCGGTCTGCGTTTTTTTTGACATTTGGTTGTATGTATTTTAACTCTAACATACCCGATTAAATAAAGGCTTTTTAATATTATTCCTTGGCTCGGTGCGTAGTGTGCCTGAAGAAAGCCCGAGTGGCTTACTCCTCTTTTGAACAGTTAATATTCAACTTCAAGAGCACCTCGCGTCTACCTGGAGTTTACCTGAGAGCACCCAGTAATTTTCTTCTTTTTATACTCTCATATTAGTTTTGGTGATGGTTGGGGAGAGTGCCTTTTTACACATTGCTCACAAATCTCCCACAGGTGTTCAGTTTGGTTACTGTGAACATCATAGCTAGTACATGATATTATATTATTGTCAATTCTTTGGACAATGATTCAGTATTTGCTGATAGCACAAAATCTGCCACTATACAATTTCGATTCAATTCAAGGGCCTGAAGTTGATCAGAGATGAAATCACATGCCCATTTAACACAATTAGTTACAAAAGCAATTTTGACCCCTTTTGTTTTGCTTTTGGCCATAGACGTGTCACGACATGTCATAATAAATTAAGAACTGTGGTGCTACAGAGATGCCTCAGTCTACAAATCTTACTCCAGATGTAAGGGGACAGGCTTGTTGGGTTCAGACCCCAGCAAAAATCACATCATCCTTTTTATACAAATTTTTTCGTCCGACATTAAAATTTTCAGAACAGGTTTGATTTTCGAGGCAAAGGAGAAAAGTGGTGTCTCATGATTTTGTCACGCACTGCGAATTTTCGCAACAAACACATCGTGAAGTGATTGGTTCTATTACTCCAAACTTCAGGTGTTCACTCACAACACCTGTATTTCAGAACAGTTCACAGCAGGAAACTGTGAGCCCAGTCCTAATGTGAAAATACTGCTACACACTCCACCATGCCAGCTTCTTTGTAGCTTACTGGCAAACAGCTAACTGGCTAACACTTTGCTGTTGAGTTAAAAGATGTGTCACAAATAGGGAATTTCTACTCTGCAGTGATGGTTAATATATGTGTGTAATTTAGCAGAAATTAATGAAGTAAAAACTACTATGTATTTACTATTTCTGTAGATGGCACTCTTTTCGCTGTCTGTTGAATTCACTGCTTATACACATCTTTTATCAGGCTAATAGGAACTGTAAAATGCATAATTTTTCCTGCAGAGGATTTCAAACAGTGTATTTATGTATGAATTCATGTACTGGATGTACAGACGGCTGAATCACTGCTGCGTTACATCAGTTAAACAGCCGCAAAGCTGACATTCATATGAAAATGTCATGGCTTATTACTTAAACATGAAGACTGAGACAGACACATGATGACAACATTAAAGGGATACGAGGTGATTCATGCTGCTGCAGCTCTGAGTAACACATAACTGTCAACATACCAGTGACGGTCACTGGAAACGACACCATTATCCTTGGGGTTTATTCACATGAAGGCACAGACAAATCTCCCGCACTCCTGACTGAAGCTGGCCGAGCTGTGCCACTGTTAGTTTAAACTCAGTGGAGGCCAGCACTCGTCTGGCTTTTATTTTTCCTAGACATCACTTTTTTTTGGAAGTGGCTGCCCTGGCTGTTCAACCCCAATAAAGACATATGGTCCGTGTCTCTGTCTCTGACTGTGTGTGTTTATGTCTTTGCTTGGATATGTCTCAGTATTACTGTATGTGAATATGTTTGGCTTTGTGCGAGTTTGTACACTCACACACGTAGCTGCATGTACAGTAAATATGGGTTTATGGTTGCATGAGCGTGCAGTCAGTGCTACCTGTCTGCAGGACCTCCTGGCCTGACGTAGGTGACCACTAGGGGGCGTGACTTGTGCCAGTCTTCGTGGGTACCACCTGCAAGAAGAGTACAGGTTAGATCTTCACACTAAACACTCGTCTCATATGATTAAAATGCTTCACTTTCTTTATCTATTTCCATTCAGTATAAAAATGACAGAAACTTGCTTCAAACAATGAGTCATTTCTTCTTTTGTATGTTGGATAAAATGATGTCACTGTATCCACTCTAACACAGTTTCTGACAGGGATTGTTCTGAAAGCTCCTTTAAGAAAACCCTGACAGCTGTGGTTGAAGTTACTTTATGTCATTTTAGACATGCACAGGGAATTAATTGGGCTTTTATTGCCGATGGGTGAGCAAGTTGTAATGACTTCTATGTAAAGGACTTGGGCCAGATTTGTCCCTGAAAATCCAAAGGATGTGATGTTGTGGCCATTCCTGTGACTGGCCTGTCTTCAGTTCCACTACAGCACTAATAGTGTGCAGTACTAGCTAACATTAGCTAAGAAATGGAGCCTGCTAATGTCAACAAACAGCCAGTGTTTCATCATAACACAGAGTCCTCACGTGCTGTATTTCCGTTATTTCAGTGACCTTCACTTAGCACCCTACAGAAACTCAAATTCAGCCAAAACAAGACAGAGGGCCCGAGCACCACAGGTTTCATCCCCCACTGTCCCTGCCAGATTAGCAAACTTTCTGTTGCTGCAGTAACATTGATTACACTCCACGCCTGGGGTTTGCTCTGGCAATATTTGAGTCGCTACAGTGGCTAAGGCCCAAACTGTTGTCCACTTCCAGGGAGGTATCGTCCTAGCGGCAGGGAGTGATGCGGAGCATCAGCAGACTGCTAGCCAGCTATTTCTTTTCTCATTTGTGGTTTGATAAATAGTATATCCATCAAATTCAGTGCCCCACATCATAATATCAGTGCCCCCCAGTCATGAAAAGAAATCCTAAAGTTACAAGACATAATGACATGTAAAATATATATTGGGATATTGTAGTTTTAGCTGGCTAATGTTAGTTAGCTTGTTAACGAGGATGAATTGCTAGCTTGCTAATGTAGGAAAGTGCTATCTTGAGTGATTAACATCAACTAATTCATCCAGACTTTTTGTCAGCTTTAATTACAAAGCAACCAACACCAGATTTATACAGCCTAGCTTAGTTACAGCTAGTTGGCTAGTTTTAGCTTGCTTGCTAACTAACATTATCACCAGCAAAAATACTGAGTGGATATGTCAGCTAGCAAGCTTGCCAAATTACTTCACTGGTTAGCATGATCAATGATAACCAATTTCTGTGTTATGACAAACAATAGGCTACTAATCTAGCCTGAAATTCTGTGTTTTCTACTAGCTAAGAGTGATGCAGGGGTGGTCAATGAGCTAATCATGACCTGAGCTCAGGTTAACCAGCTAGCTGAAATTTAGCTTATTACCCTACATGATGCTTCAGTTGGTTGCTTCATAAGTTTAGCTGATAGTGTAATTTACAAACGCCAAATTACTTAGTATCGAGCCAGTAATGCCAGGATCACTGCAGATTATTCTAACAATGATTATAATTTATTCTCCAGCATTTTGTCAACATGATGCCGGTCAATCAGGGTCAGTCATATATTTGTTTTGGCCATTTCCCAGGAGCTCAGAGAGAGGTGTCACTAAAAACAAGGATTTTCTGAAAGTTTCATACAGAACCTTTAACCACTGGGTTGCAAATTTCAAATTATTCATATTTGTTAGCATTTTTACAACTTTTACACCTCAACTTTAACTTTATGAAGTGCAGCACAAATAAATGATGCAATATTTTTACAAAGTGATACTACTCCCGTACACCACTCCAGCATGGTGCCATGTCAAACTCTGCTACTCACGTATAGTTCAAACATACAGTCATTTTTCTTATTATTTTACTACCGATGGTTACCTCTCATGACGAAACCAAAGCTGTTCCCCTCTTTGTGCAAACAGATGTCGATTGTCTTTGATATAACCCCTGAGGTGCTGTCTGGTGCTTTGAGAAGGGGGAGATACAGAGAGACAGCGAGACAGGAGAAGAGAGAGAAGGAGATAATTTATTCATCTTAGTAAAAGAATTTATGTCGCAGCTGTTAAGTATTTCTGCTCCATAATCAACTGCAATTAAAGTTTTATTTGCTTGCACTATATGTTACATCAGACTAATGGAGCATAAACCTTTAATACAGAAAAAATAAAAGAAAGGTTGGATAATGACTTAAATAATGATATAATGCAATTATAACAGAGATGCATATTTTTTATTCTGAGTTGCGCCTCGATGCCTATCATATCTTTTAATGCTATCTATAATACTACAATTTCATCTTATTAAAAAGTTCAAACTACTACATACAGTGTGTAGCTACTCTTTCTGCAGGTACCAGAGACACAATAAGATAATTTGAGGAATAGATCCATGAGTTTTAATATGAGGAAACACTGCAGGCCACTGTATGGTACTATAACACAGAATATTAAAAGTTACTACAGCACAAATCATTTAATCCTTATATTGTCAGGTAAACAGTAGAATTACATTCCCATCATGTGGTGCTGGTTAAATGGTGTCATATTGCATTGACAACCCTTTTTCTTTTCTTTTTTTGATTGCATCAGGACCCCTGCTGTACCAATACTGGTCTCATTGAAATGAATGAGGAGGCTGTGTTTTTTCAACCCAGTATCCTTGGAAACACATTCATAGTGGACAATTCTTCATCTCACCACTGTCATCAAGCGCCAACGTCAGCCCCGTCGCTGTAAGAAAATGTTGGCATTGTACGTTTCTGCAAACTACAAATACGCTACATTTGTACGTATTAAACTACATACAATAAAACAGTTTAAACAGAGTCATTGCTGTGTTTCCAGCAGCAGCTTTTTAGGCTCCAAACACAGGTGTTTTGGAGCAACCTGTCAGTAGGGATATTAACACAAAAAGCAGTTGTTTTTTCACCAAGACATCACTACTTCTCCTGCTGGGATTGTGCCCCCCAAAATATGATCTTTTCCTCACCATAACCAAGCAGTTTTTGTGCTTCAACCTAATCACACATTAACCAGAGCATTGTTAAAATGAAACCTTTCAACATATCCGCAGAATTTTATGTGGCGATTAGGTTGCCACCCGTCAACGCTGTAACCACCATCTTTCTCTCACTTTTATAAGGTGTTTTGACCCTGACAAACTAACCAAGTTTCTTCTGGCCATCACCGTAACTTACTAGAGTTTATTTGGCAGAACCACAATCTGTCCTTAGTCATCTCGTAGTCACCATGTGCAGATATTGTGAAAGTTTAGAAACATTTGACATTAAATGTATTCCAGGGTTTTGCAGAATCATCCAATATTGACTTCCTTGTTACCATTTTCACAAAGTGCTTATGTCAGACTGGACCTGACTGGAGCCATACTTTTTTTTCATCACAAAAAAAGTGACATATGCAAACAAACTTACAAACATACACGACCCACATACAAACAACAAAACAAACAACAAGAAGCCAGACTAGATAGAGATAATCACAACAATGTTTAGCCTGTTACATTAACATAAAAAAAAAAAAAAAAAGTGGCCAAGAATAACAAAACATGGTGTCACCTTGACTTCAGCTAATAGATGGTATATTAAGGTGCCGAATTATTGGGCTCCAAGTTCTCTAAAATCTATCCTGCAAACCTGATGTATCATTTCTGAGTCTCTCTAGAAGTATCCTCGAGACTAGTTCCCTAAACCAGTGGTTCCCAACTGGTCCAGCCACAGGGTCCAGTTTCTCCTTAGACATTAGTTCAAGGTCCACATAGTTTAATACGTTCGGCATCATACTTATGTTTGGCCATGTCTAAGGTTAGTTTGCTGTCTCTGTTAAGAAGCTTTTCCTTAGTCACTCACTCTACAGCAGGAAACAGCACCTCAAAGTAAAAGCTTTGTGCTGGAAATGTACTGTACTTTAAAATGAAATGTGTTTTTTACAAACTTGACACTTTGTGAGTCACTTGTGGTCCATTCAGAATGGACCTGCAACCTACTTTTGGACCGTGACCCACCAGTTGGGAACCACTGCCTTGAGGCCTCATTTACACCGCAAGCGATGCGTTCGTGTAGCCCTCACAAAGCGGTCCACAAGCTTCGTGGCAGCACACGTGTATTCACACCAAAGTAGAACAGATGCATCGCACAGCGGCCGCTGCTGTCCCGTCAAAATACAAACCACACCCGAACAGTCGGTGGCAGTAGTGCACCATGTTTGCAAATCTCCAATAAACCCCAAAGAAGAAGAAGTGAGTTTGGACCCAAAGCCCAGGGTGCACAGGTTCACACGCCAGTGATTATTCCAACGCTTGGAGAATTAATATTTAGCACTACAAATGGGTAATTACATGAAACATGTGCCTGTCAGGTCTCGCTTGGTCAAGGGGGAGATGTCTACGGTGGCCGAGAGAGGTCACAACACACGCAAACTTGTGTTTTTCATTGAACTCCGCAAACATTCGCTCACGACTCACGCAAAAAATCTGTGTCAGTTCTACTTTCTAGCTTGCTCGAGAAAGCAGCGCGACTCGAGCAGCATGTAGAACAGATGCGGTGTGAATGCTCTAACCTGTTAACATGCTTGTTCGCGAGTGCTACACAAACGCATTGCTTGCAGTGTAAATAAGGCCTAAGCCATCTAAAGAAACAGGAAGCGCTGGTAGTCTTCCGTTCCATAACAATTATTCTCCTTGATACAAACATGCCAACCATCAAGGTCTTTTGTACAATATCACAACAAACAAACAAGGCAATTACTTGGTCAAGTTCAATCTGAATATCATAAATTTGATGATGCCAAGAGAAGAAAACCTGCCAGAAAGGCATAATTTCAGGGCAAAACCAAAAGCTATGACCTTGAGTGCCTTTTGCAAAGTTACGTCTTTCACAGATATCACATACATTAAGATAAATTCTGTTAATTTTTTTTTGGAGGCATGACTTCAAACTGAATCAGCTGCTGTCTGGCTTTAATTGAACTTAAATGGATCCTCTGCATCGCCTCCCTCCACACCTCCTCCGTCAACTCTACATCAAGATCTGGGTCCCCGGCAGATTTGGAGCCATTATTCTTTGACCCCTAAAAGCCATGTGGATGTAAATATGGAGCTGAGCTAACATGTAGCCTACCTGTAGGGGGCAGTTCATACTCCACCTCCAGCAGAACTCTCTCTCCGACGTTCTTCAGTAAACTGATGATCTCTTCATGCCGCAGTTTGGTCAGATTGATGCCGTTCACCGACTTGATGTAGTCACCGACATTTAGCTGGTCACTCCTGCACAGAAGAAAGTTTTAAGTGTGTTTATTCTTTCTCTTCTTCCTTGCTGCTGGTGTTGCACCCACCTGGCCGCCAGTCCTCCAGGCCGTAAGTTCGATACCCGTGGTTTCCCGTCCTTGTCGGTTCCTCCTGAGATGGTGAGGCCCAGTGTGCTGCCTTCTTTCTTCACCAGCTCCACCATGGTCACCCCCCGCAGAGCTTCTAACCAAAAACACACATACACATAAAGACAAATACACACATGCACACAAAACAGGGACACAGAAGGACGTACACACACACAAATAGATGTGTACACAGACATACACACACACTCAAACACACAAATACAGCAGAGAAGTGAAAAGTGGTTAGTGGCTGCCCTCCGTCCATTCTGATTCCCGGATTAAAGAGGAGCTGAGTTATGAGAAAGATGAATCAAAAGATGTTTGCTGCTGTGTGTCCTTGAGTGAGACACTGATCCCCTGTCTGCCAAATACAAGAGAGTCAGCTGAAATGACTAAAATGTAAATGTAAGGATCAGATAAGATAAGCATCACTTAATGAGAATTAACAAAGCGTCAATGTTTCGGGCGGTCATTCAACTTGAAAAGTTCCTGGCAGGGATGGAAGGGCCTTGAAAGGTTAAAGCACATTATGAGTAACAGCTAATGGTCACATGACTCTTCAGAGTAAATTATGGAAAACTGAAACTAAAGCTGATTGTTTTTAATGACTGAAACAAGACTTTGTGAATAGGGATTTGTTTTCACTGTTAGTTTCTTAGAATTTACTAATCTCTGTCAAAAACCTAATGTAAATTTAATGTTGTTCTCTGTTGTTATAGGCATTTATTTTAGCCTTTATGACATTGACACCCCCATTAAAAACCTAACTGTATGACTGTCCATTCAAAACATAGAAAAACATTTAACCTGTTTTACAAAGTTTACAACCCTATCACCCGAAAAAATCGTAGCACTGTACATTACTCCAAACCTCAGATAAATTAAATTTGTACGTTATGTAGCAGATACGTTTGAACTTAATGTTTCTAACAACACTGTGGTTTACATGTGGTTATGTTTAGGCACAAAAACCACTTGGTTATGGTGAGGGTAAGATCATGTTTGGGCTAAAAATATACACAGCTGGCAGCACAGAATTTGCTGGAAAAGTGGCAACAGGTCCCTAAAATACACTCATGTTCAACAACACAGGAAGTGCTGGAAAGGTGGACATTGGTTACTAAAGTACACCCACGTTTGGCAGCACTGAAGCTGCTGGAAAAGCAGCAGCTGGTCAATAAAAACCACCCATGTTCTAGCACTAAGGCAGCTGGAAATACGGCAACAGACCACAAAAACACCCACGTTCAATATCACAAATGCTGCTAGAAAAACAATGATGGGTTGCTAAAAAAAATGGCAAGATTCAACCGCGCAGGAGGTACTGGACAGGTGGCGATTGGTCACTAAAATACACCTACATTGGGCAACACCAACTGGTCACTTAAAAACACCCATGTTCTTGCAGTGAAGCAGCTAGAAAAACGGCAACAGGCCACAAAACACCTATGTTTGATGGCATAAAAGCTGCTAGAAAAACAATGATGGGTTGCTAAAAAAAAGCCAAGATTCAATGGTACAGGAGCTGCTGGACAGGTGGCGATTGGTCACTAAAATACACCTACGTTGGGCGGCACCAACTGGTCACTTAAAAACATCCACGTTCTTGCACTGATGCAGCTAGAAAAACGGCAACAGGTCACAAAACACCTACGTTCGATGGCACAAATCTGCTTGAAAAGCAACATTTGGTCTCTAAAAAACCTCAGCATTAACGGCGGAGGAGCTGCTGGAAAGGTGATGATAGGTCACTAAAAACACCCGTGTTCGGTGACAAAAAAAAAAGCCTCTGGAAAAGCAGCAATGGGTTGCTAGAAACACCCGTGTCTGGCGGCACAAAAGCTGCTGCAAACGTGCACACATGTTCCTGGTATTGATATTAGACATTATTTGGATCATGATGTACTAAATCCCCTGACTGAAACCTTTAAAAACAGCCTGTAACTTGTGTAAAACTACAACCCTCCACCAAATGTACTGAGGGGATTCTCTGTGGTTACAAGAATCAAGGAACAGTGGACCACTCTGTCTTATTTCAACAGGAGGACAATGAACTATTGTACAGTACTAGATTCCCTAAACACTTAATTAAACTACTATACAAAGGCATCACAATATCCAGAAAAAACACACATAACCTCTTTTCTAACAATTATTAACTGAAGCAGCCCAGTTATTCTCGGGCTGAGTCAAGGCTTGATGAGGTAAACAACTTAATGGGTTGACTTGGGAACGACGCCGCAGAGTTCAGTTCACCTTCACCCTTCTGCTGCTTTGAAGTTAAGACTTCATAGTAAAAGTTTGTCCGTGACTGTGTGCACGGTTATCTGACAGATTTACCAAACATTTGCAGGTCGGCCATCAACCAGCCTTTGAAGAAGGCGATGAACACCCAACAGCTAGCAATAATAAAGAATGGAGAGACATCAGGACTGCTTACGACAGATCAGTAACAGAAACACAGAGACTCACTAGTCCTCACTAGGACATAATCATCCCCCCAAAATAACCCTTTCACAGATGACAGAGGTTTAAGATTACAGTAATTTGCCAGACTTTGCGCAGCTCCTTCTGGAGACACAAATGTCACATATTGGGTACTTCCCAAGACCGGTAGACTTCAGGCTGTGTTTGGGGCCATAACCAGGACAAGGCTACAGCCACAGGTCTTCTTTCTTTTGCCAAGGTTCTTTTTTCACTGCCAGAATATATAAACTTTAATACATACAGGCACACACAGTGTTGCCAAAATAGAGATTTTCTTGCCAGACTTGGTGAATTTTTAGACCGTCTTAGCGATTTAGTAACTTGCTGCTGCTCAGTGTAAACTCAGTCGGCAGGTAGCAACACAGCCTTTCTCTCACTCCAGTGAGCTAATCGGCTTTCAGTAGCCACAGTCTGTGAGCTGCGGCCCGCTCTCCTCGGCCATGTAAGGCCAAAATAAACTGCCACCAGACAGCGCACGTCAGAAACAGCCACCTTCATTATTTTCTGTGAACGACCCCCATATATGCAGCAGCTGAATTTAAAAGTAGGAAAGATAGTTAAGAATTCATTGTAGACAGCATTTCACAAAGTTTATTAAGTTCCCCTTAACACAACAATTCACAAATTAAGCAGTTTTTAGAGGAGTCCAGTTCTTCCTCTGCAGGTGAAAAGTAGTGTGTTGTAGTTACTGTAACCTTTGGATTGTGAGTGAGTCTCTGGTGAAAGTGTTAAAGGGGATTACTTAAAATACAACTAAAAAAAAATAAATGCTTTAATCAGTTCTCAGTCTTAAACATAGCTTATCCAGGTAAAATGATATTCTATTTCAGTACAGTATTAATACAACTAAGACTACAACAGAAAATTGCAGGTGAACATTTAATGTCCAGGAATTCACAATAAAGACACTACTGACCATCCCTTTATTAGTTAGGCCACAAGGTAGTGATAATTGTAGTTTATTTTCAATCATTCAATTGCTGATCAATTATCTGAACTCCTAAAATAAGTTGCTTGTAAAAAGTGTTTCCTCAAGTCAGTTGACAGCATGATATGCATGCACGTGTGTGCACATGATCAGGACAGTACCAACTCTGCCTGATTCTGAGCCAGGAAAAATCCTCGTCATCATTTCATAATTTTTCATCAAATTTGTGTGAAATTTTTATCATAATTAGCAAATGATTTCTTGAGCTATAGCCAAAAACGTGTTGTTTGTCACGGTGGCTTTGACCTTTGACCTTTGACCACCAAATTCTAATCAATTCATTCTTGAGTCCAAGTGGATGTTTGTGCCGAATTTGAAGACGTTCCCTGAAGGTGTCCTTGAGATTTTGCATTATTGAGAATGAGATGGATGCAGTGTCACAGTGACCTTGACCTCTGACCTTTGACAACCAAATTGTAGTCACTTTATCCTTGAGTCCAAGGTGACCACCAAATTCTAATCAGTTCATTCTTGAATTTAAGTGGGTGTTTGCGCCAAATTTGAAGAAATTCCCTCAAGGCATTCTTGAGATAACCATCACAGTGATCTTTGATCTATGACCACCAAATTCTTGAATCAAAGTGGACATTTATGCCAAATTTGAAGAAATTCCCTCAAGGTGTCCTAAGATATCTTATTCACGAGAATGAGACAGATGCAAGGTCACAGTGACCTTGACCTCTGACCTTTGACCATCAAACTCTAATCAGTTCATTCTTGACTCAAAGTGGATATTGGTGCCAAATTTGAAGAAATTTCCTCAAGGTGTCCTTGCGATATCACACTAATGAGAATGAGATGGATGCAAGGTCACAGTGACCTTGACCTCCAACCTTTGCCCACCAAATTCTAGTTAGTTTATCGTCGAGTCCAAGAAGGGGACATCTGTGCCATATTTGAAGAAATTCCCTCAAGGTGTTCTTGAGATATCTCATCTATGACACTGGGATGGACGGACAACCTGAAAACGTAATGCCTCTGGCTACGGCTATCAGGGGCACGGAGGCGTGATAAAAGCATTGAGCTGTGTTGATAGACAGCTCTCTCACTATTTGTTTGTACTTGTATCAGTATTATTTACACACACACACACACACACACACACACACACACAGGCTCAGATGAGTGAGTGAATGCTGCAGACAAATAGCTGTCTCTCATTCGGTCTCTACATATTTTCCATTCACACTTTTACACACACACACACACACACACACACACACAGGTGAGATGAAGCTTTGGTGTGATAGATGGTTAGATTAGGTAAATCCCTCAGGCGACACTGAGGATCAGTGAGGTGCTTCACGCCACAGTTATCTCTGTTGGGTATTACAACACACACACATTCACACACAAACACACACACACATGCACATGCGCGCACACACACACACACACACACACACACACACACACACACACACACACACACACACATTATCTGCGGCGGGGCACTCATTCATTCATTAGTCCTCACATTGCTCATATTTGCATAAAAGCACCAGTGCTTTAACAAATGTAGTTTGATGCCGCTCGATGCTTCTGAACTGAAACCATCACAAAATGAGTTTTTCCTCCGCAGACACACAAAACTGACCGTGTTAGGATTCATAAAGTTTTATCTACCATTTCATTTTGATGCTCGGGGAACACAGAATACACGGGAGCAGATTTGTGCACCAACAGGAAGAAACTCATAAAATGGTCTCTATAATCTAAACAGAGAGACGAGGGGAGTTCCTTTGAATCTAATGATGATCAGGCATGTCTCACACACACACACACACACACACACACACACACACACACACTCTCTTATGAAGCTTTACTCCGATAATACCAACAAGGAAACAGACAGTGAGCCACACTGCAGCACTGCAATGGGATGTGAATGAGACAAAAACTTGTAACTGTGAATCAAGGTGACCCTGGAGCCGAGTGTGGAGCTGAGTTATGTAACTGTGCATGGATGAATAAAGATTGATAAAGAGGAGAAAAGTATAAAATAAAAACAAAAAAAGGAGAATCCGATAGAGACAGACAGAGGACGGGACACTTAATAGAGGGACATGCTCAAGGTGATAGAAATGGGTGAATTGATGTGTGAAATAAAGTCAGGTGGAAGACAAAGTGACAAAGAACAAAGCAAAGGAAACTAAAGTATAATTTGAAACGGAGCGTAATGTCATCGTGGGACTCTCTGCCTGAATCTGACAATTTAAAGGCAACTCTCTCATAGATTGTTCTTTTATCTAACTTCTAGATTTCTGCTTGTGTGTTTGACTGGTTGGCATTGAACACAGCACCATGAAACAGTTTTTGGATAATGCTGCTCTTTAATGTGACAGATTTAATGTGACACTTCCTGCTTAAAGGAACAGTTCAGCCACAAAATGATCATTTGTTTTTCAGTTATTCATCCAGTGTTACAGCTCTTGCGGTATAATCCAAGTCTCATTTATTCAAACACATGCAGTGAATTCTGCTCAATGGAATCACAAGCAGAGTTGAAATGCATGTGGTTACCGAGGCATGCTACTCGTACGCAGAGGTGCTTTTAAGTCCAGTGTGTAGGATTTAGGGGGACATATGGGCAGGAATGGAATATAAAATAATATGTATGTTTTCTTTCATGTATAATCACCTGAAAATAAGGATTGTTGTGTTTTCATTACCTTAGAATGAGTCATTTATATCAACATATGGAGTGGGTCCTCATCTACAGAGATCGCCATGTTGCACCATCATGTTTCTACGGTAGCCCAGAACAGACAAACCAAACACTGGCTCTACATAGGGCCATTTGTGTATTTGTCCACAGGAGTAAGCATCCTGTTCACGATGAGCAGCACTGGAAAAAAATTTTTTTTATGTGAAACTGCTTTATTCAAGTTTTTTTACTGGTTGTTTATTTTGTAGGGGAAGAAACCTCTGCAGATAAAGTAGCTCTCATGTTGCGTTCACACCAAACACAATGCGAATTTTCATGTTGTGTTACTTGTGCGAGTTTGAACACTTGAATATTTGTGTTGACTTGCTTCATATGCACAAATAACTTGTGTCATACATGCATGGAATCACTGAATCGATGAATGAACTTCTGCCGGTATGTCCTCAGTGTCATATGTCCCCATGGCGCGAATCGGCCACTGTCGCAAATAAACGTATGACGCAAGATAACGCTATTTGCTTCATTCGTGCCACTTAATTCACATATTTCGTGTCATTTGTGTCGCATCTATCATGTTCACTGCACTGTCCGGCGGGAATTCGTGTCTAATCGCGTCTTTACATTGTCTTTACATTTAATTCACTCGTGCTAATTGTCTTGTTCACACCTGGTGTGATTCGTTACAGTCACACCAATGTAAACAATAGAGATTTATAAGAAGTGAGGATAAGAGTCTGAAATACACTATTACTTACAGTATTAAGGATAACATATATATCTTAACTTTGCTGAGTGTGTAAGTGTGTAAAAATATACAAACGTGCATTGTGCTGCATGACACTGCACTAACTAGTGTTACATTAAAAAATATACACATATATATCATGCCATAATGTTCAATATATACATCAATAGAATAACAACAAGAATAAAAATAAGAAATATGTACAGTTATGTGCATTGTATTTGAAAGATATAAACATTTAGGAGGTGATGGTGAGAATGAATGAATGAATATTGCACAGTTGAATAATTGCAGAGTCTTGCGGCAGTTGAATTAATGCACTTATTATGGCAATTATACCCTAATGCACAGTAGAAACATAATAGATAATTTAAAAATTGATGTACAGATGGTCAGTTTGTGGGTAAAGTATTCATTTAATGTGATGTTTGGGTTTGACGTAATGCAGGAGTTGGCTCATTTAAACACATAAACCAGTGTCATATATATTGGGAGGGAAAAGGTGGATGTACTTAATGAGAGTGCGTCAAATCTGATCACCTGATGTGACTGATAATAGTGGTTAGAGTTGTACTGGTGCAGCATCTGGTTACCATTCTAGACAAGATGGTTTCAGGAAGGAGAACAAATGGAAATTCCTTATTAAAACATGGGAGGATGGGAATGAAGCAATATTACATCAATTGGCCAAAGGGGGGCGCTATAGCAACCGACTGAAATTGCAAACTTTGAATGGGCATATCTCATGCCCTGTATGTCGTAGAGACATGAAACTTTGCACAGAGATGCCTCTCCTCATGAGGAACATATTATACTATATCTATATAACTTCCAGTTATATAGATTTTCCGCCATTTTGAATTTTTTTGAAAAACACTTCAAATGGATCTCTTCCTAGGAAGTTTGAGCGATCTGCATGAAACTGGGTGAACATAATCTAGGGACCAATATCTAAAGTTCCCTCTTGGCAAAAGTTGGAAAACTTACTAAAACTGAGCTTCTATAAGGCAATGAATATTGCGGAGGGCGTGGCTCATCACATAAAGGTGTATAACATCTCAAGGGTTTCACCCATCACCACGCAACTTTGTAGGCATATGACCACACATAATCTGAGGGGACCCCTCCATTATTGACCCCATCAAACAAAATGGGGGCGCTAGAGAGCTTATTTCTTATCTAGGCCTAACCGCCATATGGATTTTTACTAAACTTGGTAGATATGTAGAACAGGACGCCTCAAGGTGACTGGAGAAATTTAACTCTAATTGGCAACTGGGTGGCGCTATAACAACAGAAAAATGCTTAAAAATGGCTAAAATGCGACCGATCGCTGTGGCTTCCCCTGTGGACCAATGTTGCCTAGTGTTTTTTCTATTTTTTGGCATGACTAAGTCATGGTATGGTATGCTGTACATTATCATGGAAACTGTCAGTCAGTCATTCTGTCTGTCCCATGTTTTTCAAAAACTCTGTCTGAATACATTGCTCTTCTTAATGGGTTCAGTTGACTATTTAATCTGCAATTTCCTATGACCTGTATCCCAAACACACACCATGTGAAACTGTACGCGGGCAACTGTGCACTCAATGGGTACGGACTAGTAGATATATATTACAGCAACAAATATGAGAATAAAGAGGTTTTGTGGGACAGTTTTCACTCAGAGACACTTCCAGAGCAAACATATTCAATCACAGACTACCTGGGACATTGTTGTTATCACACAGTCATCAGGTCACCCTGCCATTAAAACATGAAGCACATCAGAATCTGATAGTGAACTACAGTGAAAATGATCCAGTTTGGACAGCGGGAAGCTGAATTTGTAAATGCCTTGAGTTAATTAAGCAAATTGCTGTCGACGCCAAATTCTGCTTTGGGCATTTATCTGAGACAAATTATGATAAGAGATAGTTATGATGCATCAGTGTGGTGACGGAGTGTGAGTACAGAGTATACAGTTTAAGCATTATAGACAGATGACAGATAAATGGATAGATGGGTGTACCTGGTATACTGTGTCTTCTGGAGGCCATGGTCTGTTCTGGTCCAGAGATATCCTTTGTTTTTCCATATGGGCCATCATCTAGAGAGAACAGAGACACACAATAAAGCTTTAGAGGAACCAAAAAACTTTTCTTTTCTGGTTTAGCTCATTAACATAAGTGAAACTTATAGTGGCAGAGGTAAGTCTGTCTCATGTTATATACCATCACCTTCGCGCCCCCAAAACCTACATCATTACAAATATCAGACTTTGCTCTCAGACCAAAACATGGAAACACGCGTGCAGAAAAGATTCAGGCTGCTGCTACATGCATGTCTGCCAACAGTCACTCAGCCCTGAATGCATCTCTTCTCCCTCTCCACCCATGAATCACGTCTCGTATCATCCTCCTCTACACACTGCTCATCTCGTAAATACAAGAAACGTTTCTCTGCAGTACACCCACACATTGGTGGTGATGAACATAATAGATAGCTGTCAGTTTATTTGACAGTGATCTGGGCTCCTTGGCTGTGCTCTCTGAGCGGCTGTATACAATGAAGACGAACAGTTGAAGCATTGTCCTGACAAAGTTGCAGAAAAACCAAAGCACCATTCTCAAAAGTTAGAAAAAAATCCCTCTCCAACACACTTTCTTTTCTTATTTGTAATTAATGTAGACTGAATTAGGTCAACCATAGGGATATGCTGTTTTCAAGGGGATTTAGTGTCTCAAGATCCATCCATTTACCCAGTTGTCCATTAACCCAGGTTGTGGAGGCAGCAGGCTGAGCAAGGTATTCCAGATGTCTCGCTCCCCAGCAACGTTTTCCAGCTTTTCCTGGGGATCCTGACACGTTCCCAGGCCAGATGAGATATAAAATGTTCTGGGTCTGCCCTGGGGCTTCCTACCAGTTGGACATGCACAGAAAAACCTCTAATGAGAGGCACCCTGGAGGTATTCTGATCAGATGCCCGAACCACCTCAACTGGTCCCTTTTGATGCAAAGGGGCAGTAGCTCTACTCTGAATTCCTGAAGTCTGAGCTCCTCACCCTATCTCTAAGGCTGAGCCCAGCCATTCCACAGAGGAAACTCATTTTGGCTGCTTGTATCCGCAATCTCATTCTTTCAATTACTACCCAAAGCTCATGACCATAGGAGAGGGTCAGAACGTAGACGGACTGATGTGTTGGACTCTTCTTTATTTCTGAGGGTAAAATGGAGTTTCTAAAAATACTAGATGGAAATGAGTCATTCATTTAACTCCTGTAACCGCTTATCCCTGTTGGGGGTCACAGGGGGGCTGGAACCTACCCCAGCTGACACTGGGCGAGAGGCGGGGTTCACCCTGGACAGGTCGCCGACTATCGCATGGCCTACAGTCCTATAGTCAAGTTGCAGTTTACATCCATGTCTGTCCAGACTCATGTAGTACATATGGTGAAAACTTTGACTGAATTTATTAAATGTATTTTCAGGCATCATGTTGATGCTTAACACACATCTCCATTCTGGCAGCACAGACGATCTTTACAATCAGCACAGTTTTAAGGTGGACACCCAAGATTAGTGTCACCAGTTTAGTATCTGACCAAATGTCTCCCCTTCTGTTCCTGAGATATGACGCTGAATAAAGCCTAGGAAAGTGTTTCTGTAAACCGTTATCATGTCAAGTAGAAATATAACCTTTTGGATGTAAATTGTCAGCCCTTCATTATTTTATCCTGTTAGACATCTGTGTGAAATTTGGTCATAATTAGCGTAAAAATTCTTGAGTTATGGCCAAAAATGTGTCTTGTAAAGTCACAGTGACCTTTGAAAACCAAAATTGAATCAGTTCATCCCCGAGTCCAAGTAGATGTTTGTGCCAGATTTGAAGAAATTCCCTTGAGGCATTCCTGAGATAACCGCGTTCATGGGAATGCAATGGATGCAAGGTCACAGTGACCTTTGATCTGTGACCACAATAATGAGTTCAACCTTGACTCAAAGTGGATATTTGTGCCAAATTTGAAGAAATCCCCTTAAGGTGTCCTTAAGATATGGCGCAAATGAGAATGAGATGGATGCAAGGTCACAGTGACCTTGACCTCTAACTTTTGACCAGCAAATTCTAGTCAGCTTATCCTCGAGTTCATGAGGACAGACGAACCAATGGACGGACAACCCGAAATTAAGTATAATAAAGGCAATACAGACATAACAATGTCTTCATAGGGAGGAGGTTGGGTTGGATGAATGAATCAAACACATGACCCATGAGAATGCTTTTCCTGTCCTGTGTTAACGAAACGTTCTCAGCTTTTGTCAGCCATGTTTGTAAGTTACTTTACACACATAATTTACATAACAAACATACTTATCTGAGCCTGAACCATTTTGTTTTGGGACCTGAACCTCAACAAACTGTGGCGCTTCACAACGTTAAATAGTAGTTACTGGATGTAATTCCAGTTCTGTGAGAACATGAGCCTGACACTGACACTTGCCAACAGTCATATGTTTTTTGTGGAGTCATCTGCAAACAATTTATTCTGGTATTTAGGTATTGGGACGAGTATTCCACAAGCCTTCAACAGATGAAAAGAAAGGAATGTGCTCTCGTGTATTTATGGTGTAGTTCTGTATTCCAGACTCAAATTTGACAAACATGTCAAAAAGATGTCAAAAACAATAAAAAACAATTTAAGTTGCTTCAAACTAATTAGACATCATATACCAATCAAAGCCGCACAGCTTTATATGCATGCCATGATTTTTTCTCATATGTCATATTGTGTTACAGTGTGGAGTCAGGCCTCTCCGACTACAATTAAGTTAATTGCATCTCTGTATAATCAAACCTTAAAAATAATGGCCAAGAAACCTATAAGGTGGCATCACTGTCACATTTTGAAGCAGTACAATTTGCTTAGTTTTGATAATTTCCTAAAATTTTCCTCTGTTAAACTGGTTTTTAAGTGTTTGCAGAACTCTGCACCAGATGTTCTGTGCAGTCTTTTTAGCAGACAAAATAGTGATAGGATCACCAGGGGTACAGCAAGTGGTAACTGTAAAATCTTGCGCCGTAAGACCTCCTTTGGTCAATCAGCCTTCTCTATAAAGGGCTCCCAGATGTGGAACTCACTACCGACCGTAATAAAACTAACCCGAGACATCAGGATTTTTAATAAAAATGTTAAAGTCTGGCTGAAACAAAATCAGATCTGCATGCACTTTTAATGGGTCATGACTTGGTATGATTTCAGATGTACTGTACATTTTATTGTATTGGTATGTAATTTTGTTGTCTTTTTTCTTATCTTTTTTCTTTTACTAAAAGCCTAACTAGGGACGGGAGTTGGTAACTAGCATTAGCTATAATCTCTGTATGCAGAACATCAGTCACATTGACTTGTTTGTAACGAGTGGAAGTGTTACTATGTTAACCTGCATTGTCCCTATCAAATAAACTAAATTAATTAATTAATGTATTTACTTTCTTCCACTAATAACCACACGAGTGGCTGTAGGGACTGCCAATCTGTTGTTCAGTTGGTGCAAAATTTTGCCCAAGAGCAAAATTTCTTCATTTCTTCAAAACATCTGGAAATTCCCAGAGGATGAATCCAGTTTACTTCGGTGAGTTTAATACAGTGCTACAGAATTTCCAGTTGCATGAACACATCTGATTAAAACTGACCCAAGTCTGACAATGTAGATACAAGCCTGAAATTACACATCTGATACTTCTTCGCATTTTGTTTTTAAAGAGATCCACGATCCAAGTTTCCTGACAAGCTGCACAATCCTCTCTGAACGCTGTGTCAGAGTGGAAGTGCAAAATTTGCAAGAACTGTACAAAATGCCATGTGAATACATGACAAACCTCCCTCATATAAATCTACTCAGCTCTATCACAAGAGCAAGAACAGGTACCTGTAGTTACAGTCACTGCAACAACCCTTTCAACAGTTTGGCGCATTGGTAAATTCACTGTCAGACCATTTGTGAAGTGTTGATGGGGTTAGTCTCCTCCCTGCTTGGCCATCATTGTTAGATGTCACAGGAGGGAACAGATGTCCTGTTTTATGGTCTCTGGCAGAGACTTTGTGGCAGAGACGTGTGAGGATTTTAATATTTGATACATTATGAATTCAATTCTCTACAAATCTCCATAGGTCTCTGAAAACTGCCGAGTTAACGCACAGGCTGGAGGCCTGCAAGAAGTCATTACTTTTAGACTCCAGTTTGGAAATTACAGACCAATCAATCAATCAATCAATCAATCAACCAATCAAGGTCATTTTAGAGAAGCACAGAGGAAGATGAAAAGTGAAAAAACAGAGGCAGGACAAATAGCAATGTAGTTAATATACTGCATTAATTACCATGTATTTTACACGTCTTCATAAACTCAATATGGTCCAGAATTCAGCCACCATATCATCACCAGAACTCCCTCCACAGATCATATCACTCCTGTTCTTCAGCAGCTTCACTGGCTTCCTGTTGAATACGGTATCGATTTCAAGACTCTGCTTCTCCCCTTTAAGGTCCTCCATCACCAAGCCCCTCTGTATCCTTCTGAACTCCTTCATATCTACACACCCTCCTGTGCTCTTAGATCCTTCTCTGCAATCCAACTCACATCACCATCTGCCCGCTTGACCACTACGGGTTCAGGAGCCTTCAGCCATTCTGCCCTCCTCCATCTTTGGATCTCTCTCCCACAAGACATTTGCAATATTGATTCCTTTCCACCTTCAAATCCCGTCTGAAAACACACCTTCTCAAGCTGGCATATATTCAGTTTGATGTAATGGTAACACAAAAACTTGCTTGTTTGGTCAGTGACTTCTAGCATCAGACACGGACGAAAAAGCCCTCCTTTCACGATACACAGCCGGTGGCCAGTACTGTTTAACAACCACAACTTTCACCCAGGAGGCTGCTGTTTGCTTCCTGTGTGATTGTAAAGCCAAACCCTGTTTTTTTTTCCTAAACCCAACCATGTGTGTTTGTTGCTGAAAGAAATGAATGTCAATTCGCAGTGTTGTACCTATGTAGTGCATTTAATTTGAAAGAGACTGTATGCAAACTGAACATTTCCTGTGA